TAAGAGAAACAATCGTAATGAAGGTTCGTACTCTGGAAATTGTCTACTACTGGAATGTCTCTCATCGTATAAAACGCGGTTCTATATGAAAAGAATAAATTAGACTATTATTTTGTTCAATGACGGCAACGATAACGATATCCACCAACAAAGCAAACCAGACGGTAATTACATGGACGTAAATTTCTACGTACAGCAATTGAATGGATCGCGTAAATCTTTGCTTTAATTGAAATCGTAAGGAGGTGGCAAGCGAAGCCGTCGATCCGTACGCTCCATAGCTGATCACCCTTGTCAAGTGAGAGAATCCTATTATACGTCCCTTGGATATATTACACAGTAAGTAGCGTGCTGAATGGAGAAAATACAAAACTCGATAGGCGGCAACTTAGGCGGCAGCGTTCATCGCACAATGATCATAATTTTTTAATTTATTTTATTTATTACCAAACTGTTCATCGCACGCCAGACGGTTATTAAAGATTCAAGCTCTTGTTTCACGTAGCGACCGCACAAAGATGAAAGGACGTTGATTCATTACCTATTTATTGTCAGACAGGGTATGCGATTGCTTCGTGATCATTTGAATACATTACACAGATTTTGGTGAGAACGCTTAGGCTTAGCATCTAGCTATTGAAGAGCCAGAAGCCGCTTGTTCAGGCCCCGCCCTCAATATACATTACACCAAACGTGTTTAACTGCTGGCCAAACGTAACTTCCTATTTTCCCATAGCCTCTCCGTTTCCGATATTCAGCCCTGATTCGCTCACTTCAAATCGTCTGCGGTCCGAAGTAGATATTCTTCACGTTGTCTATTGTAATGCGTCCCAAAGCACAAAATGCGATTTCTAAACAGACTCATGGTCGACGTCAAGCTACAAACAATTCAATATTAATAAGCTATTTAACTCAATATAACGAAATTTTGCCTTTGCACTATGAACATTGCCTACTATACGTTTCATCAATTTGTAATACAGAAACACATTTGGTTCGCTCCAGAGTCTATATGATCCACACGATAAATAAAAAACGTCGCTCCTGTATGCTTTTTTTTTTTTTACCTATATTAATTTTTTTGCTGACATTTTCGAAATTGAGGCGCTTTTGTCGGCTGCTAGATGCAGCGACATTCGGCGAACCATTGCGCCATTCCGATTGGAATCATCGATGTTCTGGAGTACGTATGTGCGTGCGCTATGAAAGCCGCGGTATCCGCAATGTTTTCCGTCGTCAGTGTCCGGGTAGCTAAGAGGGAATAGTCCTTTTACCGTTGTGTCCCTGCTTCCTTACCTATAAGTAAAACGTAGACGGTTCTTTTGAAGTCACCAGACTAGACACTGCTTCGCGGTGCCTTTGCCTGTTCAAATGCTTCGGGAAAATACCTGTTTTGGCTTCTGAAAGCCCAGCAGCAGCAATAGGCATTGCTCATGGGCTCAAGACTCCTGTCCGAAGACCTATTAGGACGTTATCGATAACGTAACTCGGCCACCAGTCTTGTCTGCTGATTGAGAATGACAATAATAAGTATACTTATAACATTAATACCGCAGCGCCAACGGTAAACACTTTTTCAGTTCTTTTTGTTCTGTCTCTGCGCTGCTGCAGTCTGCCCGCGTTGTGTGCCCTTCTCCTGCTAGAAACGGCATTTTGTAGTCGGGCTTTCGTGCATCATCGCCTGGCCTTATGGATAGCTGCGGCAGAAAACAACCGTAGCTGCCTGCGGGGCAGACGTATCACATAGTTCGCTTACATATGTGTGATGTGAACACAGTGCACTATCAACCTGGCGGGAACACTGTGTTCGAAGCTGGCATCTTTCAGGGGCTAGATTTCAGTTATCCAGAGGCTTTTGCTTTAGTTCATAATCATTGTTTTTAATGGTGCTTTTCCGGTTGAGTATTTATGGCTGTCCAGCGGCGCGTGCTTGCAGTGTTTCAGGTGATTCTTTTTCCATTCTTCCTATTGAAGATAATAAAGGACAACATAGCTAAATGCGGTGTAACAACTTACACATTTTTCAGAAATTATTCTGCCCTTGGACGTGCATATGCACACACGAGCAAAAACGCATTCAAGCTGTTTAGTCAGTGGGTACTATCGATATTGTAAAGATAAGTAGATTGAAATGGCCGATAGATGCAGTTGCAATGACAACCTAGCCGTCCAAGGCTTTACGTAAGCAATTTAGTTCTAACAGGAAAGGGGCATCTCTAGAAATCAGAAAGAGCGAAGAGGATGGTGCCTAGAGAAGAGAGCAGGTAACGAAACATGCCGCACTTGGCGTCGGTCTTGCAGCAGGCAAAAGGCGGCGGCGAAGACGGCAGATGATGAATAATTCAAGTGTCATACAAGTTCACTTTTGTAGGATTTTATACAAAACTTTATGATACCTTTCACTCTCCTTCTCATGCTCTCTCGCTTGTATCCACTCTTTGACTGTTGATGCAAAAAAGATCTACTCTGTCTCAATTCGTCTTGGATTCTATAACACCGAAACGCACCGGACAAAAAGCCGGGCCCGACGATCGGTGCTATCAATATGGCCATGACAGAAAGCTCACTTTATGGACAAGTCAAGCTACCGCCAGCTTTCGTCAACTTTGTAAGCATGTCTTTCGTGTCTGCTAGCCTGCGAAGCGCTTTCTCAATACGAGCTCGAGTTCCCTGTTTAACACATTTCTACAACAGCCGCAGCGCATGCGACCGAAGGTCCCCGGCGTCCATTCGTTACGTTTCATGCGACCGCTAGGACCGTCATGAACGTTTTATGATAGATCCTTTAGATCTCTAGGAAATATTCAACTGAATGGTTCAATGGAAGTTCATAGAAATATGAATCAATTGTTTCGTTAGTAGAGCAATAATACACAAAAAGAATTGATAAAATAGATTTACGAAGGCGTTGTAGGTGCCGCGCGAACCTCGTAAAATAAACTAGAGCTAGGTTTAATGAACTTATTTAGTATAATGTTATTAAATTTTGAAACTTAGCGTAAAGTGTCTTTTCCTTTTATGAAGATCTCGCCTATCGCTGTGTTTTTGCCATAGTCAACTGTTAAGCCTTTAAATATAGGAAGAGAACTGAAAGATTGTAGCACTCAATTATACGCAAAGGTAAAATTTCTGAACGTTAATATGTCAGCGGTACGAAAAACCCTACTATTACTCCGGCAGTTACTAAAACCGTCCGAACTTTGAACAAGACGCAGTTGTTGTTGTTGTTGAGTTTTTTTCTGATACGGATACGAGGTTACGATAGAGACCGGTTCCAGCAGATTTTATATACGATCAATGTAGATACGCCTCATTAGGTACAATATATAAATAGAAAAATTACACCTCAATAGAGGGCAGCGTATTTCAAGTGTATTGCTGAAATGCTTATGGATGCAATTGAACCCGCAAAAAGCAAAGTTTACCACCGGCGCATGAAGTGACTATTCTGCTACGGGAGATCTACCGTAGCTATTGCTGTTTCGCTATAATGCCCTTAAAATTGTGACTTTAATAATCTATTATTCCGATCCTCTATTCGAATTGCTTCTGTTTACTAGAATGACCCGAGGCATTTTTCGAAAGCTTCAAATGAAACACTTCCATCAGAACTCCAACTGCTCTTGCTGCTGCTGTAACCTTCGAAGGGAACACCGACTTTAGTATAAGCGCGTCATTCAGATAGAGGCTTTTCTAAAAAGAAAAAATTGTAGACTATATAATATATGAAACCATCACAAAAATCGAACTGCTTTGTAGACGGACGACTTCACAGTCGCCGCAGTCTCCGCCGTTTTCGACCACTAAACGTGTTGGTCTTCTAGAAGTTTACAATTTGGAGCTTTGAACCTTTAAATGGAAGCTAAGATGAGACAAAAGAAACGTTTTAAAGATATTTATTATACTTTTGTTTTGTCGAAGTCGGCCCGGACTTTTTCTTTAATTTCAACAATAGGTCAGGTCAGTCATACTAAACTTTGTTTCTCTAGAAGAAGAAGTAGCAGTCTTCAAATGCTGTCCATCAAACCTTCATCTGAATGGACAATAAAATCCAGAAGGCTCAGCCGACACGTGTTGTACTACAAATTTTATAAGTGTTGAAGCAGTTTTGGCCTTACAGCTCGTTTTTGAGTTACGATTTCATGATTCCCTTAGCAATTACGTCTCAGATGGACTCGCTTACCTAGTTATATCAAGTACGTCAATCTGGTCATTTAGACATCTGTCGTGTACCCTTTTCCTTTGTGTGACGCTGCAACCACAATCTCAGGGAATGTTTTACTATCGATTAGAATTTAACGAGGCTCTAGACCACCGGTAATAGTGACTCTTCACGCGACCCTGCCGTGACCATGAGAATGTGGGTCTTATTAGCAAATCCAAGGACCTCTTTACCCTTAAATTATCGCGTTCCTTTCGGCAAATGTACATCGGTGTACAAATAATCGTTTTGCGAACGTCTGTGCGTTATGCCACTAGAGTGCGACGTCCGCGCTGCGAACAGCGCTTTCGCTTAACTGCTTTTCACCTTTCCATGATTTTTTCTGCTTGCATTTTTGCCGTGCTCCTTTGTTGAGTGGAGCGTTTTCCAAGCACGCTATGCGCGTCCTGTCCCACTACCGCCCAGGTGTGCATAAGCTTATCATTGTATTCTGAGGTAGCACATAGAAGCCATTAGTTGAGGGGACGACGTCTTTAAACGCTACCGCTCTGCCATCATCAACGCCACCGTCGCTGATCTTTATTTTGAATGCTTTTATTGTTTTACCACTCGTCGTTTAGCCAAAAGCAAACATGCGAATATGTGGAACTGCTCGAAAAAGGCATAAAAGGTAACAATATAACAAGCACTTGAATAAGGACTTAGTCACGCAGCAGGCCACGCCAGAGAGATATAACAAGACAGAGCGAAAGAAAAACGAATCCTGGATGGGAACTGCTTTCACTTGTCCTGTGATACCAAACACAAAAACATTACAAACATGAAAATGACAAAGGTATTCAATACAAGCGTCAATCACTTTTATTCAGCCAAGCTTTACTACAGAATTTGAGGATTCCAGCTGGTAGCAGAATTCTCTTACCTAACACTGCCCCGAATTGACAAGATGTTGAATTCATTATGAAACACTTTTTCCTAAAAATCATAAACAGCTATCACACAATTTTCGAGCTTTGAATAATAGTTGCTAAAATCTGTAATGTCTAATTATTCCTTATTGCCTTACGACGGCCGTCATGGCATTAGTGTGAAAACTTCTCATAGACTTTAGCAAAGCTGAATGCTACATGTAGCTTCAATATTTGACAAACGAATAGCGTTTATTAACTCTAAATTACGGGCTCGCAAGAAACCTAGGTCGGGCAGCTGGCAATGGGCAATACGAGAAATCCAAACGAGGCTCATTTGTGATAGATAAAAAAACCTTCATTACGTTGCCCCAGCGTCGCCTTTCTTTGATAATCAATGAGCAATGTTCTGTTAGTTCATCATATGTACTCCGAACTGCATCTGAGCTGCTCCGTAATAAAATGCTCTAGTCATTGTGAGTATGTGTGCTATGAAATTATCGACAATAATAATATGTCATCATATTTTGCAAGTAACTCCGCTCTTTTGTATAATCCAGTCCGAACGTCTGCTTACTAATTGATCACCCATACCTGTATCTCCCAAAAATTCCTACGCATATCTGTTCACCAGCGCTTTTCACGCATGAATACTATCGACTGGAAAGCTTTGTACTTGCTTGCGAACTTATGCTTATGGCAATTGTGAGACTCATACGTGTAGAAGTTCGAAAATTAAAATTTTCTGTTTCGTTAGTTCTACCTCGTCACTGACGTATGGGGCAGGCCTAACGCGCGGGCCGCCCCTGTCGCGTTGTACGGCTGCGAGTCTAATAACGAGAAATTATTGTTGCTAATAGTAAATGTTCTAAGCACGCGTTTTTCTCTATTCAAGTACTACATGTTATAACACGATAGGACATCTATAGATCCCCTACGAACTTAGGCTGGATACACTGTCAACAAGAACATATACATACAACGAACATTTGCAGGGAGCATCCAGTGCAAACTCGACCCCTCTCCCCTCCATTAAGTTCAACAGATCCAACCGATCACCGTAGAACGACGGGTCTTGCTATTACTAGCAATAGCTTGCCTGGCATATACGATCAAGTTACCACTTGACCGTTTAAGTTATTGTCAGCAGCAGTTAAATCTGTTAGCTGTTTCACCGAAGCCAACTCTAGGACTGCCAAGATCGTTCAAAATGACCGTACTTTCAGCTGCAATCGCTGCCGCCCGCTTCTCGACTACCTTTTGCCTGCAAAACGAAAATCGCGAAAACGATCTGACCTTTTTAGACATAGTCAATTTATTCTCTAAGAGATTTACTGCATTGTTTAGGAAAAACACTAGGACAAGTTAACTTTGCCTAGTCAGCCAGATAAGGATATCAATGAATCAAAATATTTAGTCCGTAATTTTTTCACCACATCTGTAACCTGAAGTAGTGAATGATTTGTTAATCGTAACAAGGTTAATTTTAGGACGAAGCTAGGCTCCGTATATGAAAAACACATAGATACGAAAGCAGGCTCAACAGATCCTTATATTACCTTCGCAATACCTCGCTAACGAGGTCCCTGGCCGCTTCGTCGATATTGGTGTTAGTCTTTGCTGATGTGAGATGCCATGAATGAAAGTTATTTGCCTTACAGAATTGTTTCATCTTCACCTGATTAATTCCATCCCCTTTGCTTAAGTCACACCTAATTAAAATGCAATAACAATAAATCATACGCTGATTTTAGACACAGATCCCAAACAAACATCAGTCCCGAGAACTAGTCTGCAACAATAGATTAAACTGATAATTGAAAAAGTACAGGCTCACTATTGACTCTTTCTACATGGCTGATAATTATCTCACTACAAGAAGCTCAGATTTACAGTAAACGAAGAGAAATATTAGACTTAAGCAGACATCGCTACGATCTATACATGCGCAACAATGATCCTCACGGAATTTCTTTTAAGATACGCCTTTGATGTTTCCCAAAATCAACTTTGTTACTTCAATTCAAATAGTTTTTGATTGAGAAGAATGTAACGATTAACATTATATACATTTCTTCGATATACATGTAACGCATTTTATCGTTTGATTCAGCATGCCCGCACATATATTAAGCTTAAATTGCGGCGATTCGATCAAAGATGAAAGCTAGTTCATACTTGTTTGCTAGTAGGACACAAGGTATAGGCGATCCATCGGCTAGATGAACCTTCGCGTCAAGGTCAGTCTTCCATTTGAGGACAGCCTCAAAAGTGGCACCTCGAGTTGAATCGAACACTACAAACGCACCTACAGCTTCCTTATAGTACACTCTAGTCATATTGCCGAATCGTTCTTGACCTGCAAAAAAGTAGGACGAAATTACACTCCATCTTCGAGACAGGCTAGAAATGATCCCCAACGCGCTGCGGGCAATAAGGTGTCGATGCCTTATTGCCGCAGCGCGGTTGTGTTAGGTACTGAAACATGGATCGTATCACGCCACTGCCTACGCCTGTGCAGCGCGCTCGCCTCCTACCAAATGCCGCTTGATCTGTCTATATAGAAACCAAGAACAAAAATGGTGCAGAGTTGTAAAGGATATACACCAAAATTGTTGGTGTATCTCGCTAGCGTCCATCGGCTGTGCTTTATGGGCTTCTGTAATTATACGCTGCTCGTTACATCACTTATGCACGGTCTTGCGAAATCTCTTGCGTTACTATGCGTTTTCACCATTTTTCTTTATTACGTATCCACTGTTGCATATACGACTTGCCCTTTCGTATGCTATAGCTAGTACAATTAGTATGGGCCCTTTCTCTCGTGTCTTTCGTTAACTTGCCATAGTTATCTCTTATGTTGTATATAGTTGTTTGGTAAAATAATTTGTAGTACGAGATAATAATGTTTAATAAGGCTTCTATTGGTTAAACATAATGACCGTATCATTATTTATCTCTGTTTGTCTTCCATTGGTTCGTTTCCCTGTTTGTTCTATTTTTCCTTCTTTTATATCCGTATGTCGAATATCCAAGTTGAGGGTTGGCATATTAACCTCAGGCCAGTGAAACTCAATCGTCGTCGTCTATCGGATGTGGCCCGCAAGTGGCAGCACCTCTGAGGGAAGAAGGAACGATTATAGACGTCTGAAGCGGATGGTCCCCAATCCATCCGATTCGATAACTTTGCGCAAGCATAAAAGTGCACAAAATCGTTCGAGCGGTAGTAGTAATCAATAACGGCCGACCGTTGGGCTGAGTACAGCGTCTGCATTTCTGCATGCTGGCTCTGTTTTTCTAGTAGCCTCTGTTACCACGCCGCTCGTAGCCATGGCTGTGATTGTTACCGGTCATCGTCAAATGCCTCAATTAAACTCGACGTAGCTAACGCAGTTCAGGCTATCCGTCGATGCGTCCCCGCGGGGGTGACGTGACGATGGCCTTTTAGCAAGCACAGGCTACCAGGACCGTGGTTGAAATAAAGTACTGCGGCCTCTGGTAGCCAGCAGGACCTGGCTGACTGCAAATTGACGAAGAAAGAAAAGTAGCCCATTCGCTTGATTTGCCAAACATTTTCGATTGAGCGTTCTGTATGTGTGAATCAGCTATTTTTTTCTTGAACGGTTTCATAGAAAATAAAGCAAACATTTTATATATAACATGTTCGCTTGGCTACACATAACCCTCAGCAATATATACTGTACAAAGCATTAATAATAATATGTTATAAAGTGTTTTTGTTGGGATACAAACCAGCAATGTCCCAAAGTTGTAGTCTAACGACAGTATTCTCATCCCATTGAATGACCTTGAGAGCGAAATCTACGCCGATCGTTGCTCGATAATGCTCGCTGAAGATCTTGTGCACGTAGCGACGAATAATTGAAGATTTGCCTGTTCCCAGTTCACCGATTACGAGAACCTAAATACGTACGGAGTATGCCATAATTGCCTTCCATCCAGTTCTTATTCTTGACCGTCCCACCTATATATAGTCTACGATAAGCACAGCATGCATAGGACAAGCTAACAGCGTGCTCACTTAGATTTTACATTACCTTGTATAGTAGTTCGCGAGGTTCGACAGCTGAGACAGCCATGTCTGTAGATTAGAAGGCACCGGAGCAAAAACGAGCCTATTTTTTTCCTGTAATCACTAACCAAATAATATCAGTTGTCAATACCAAATGGGTATCTTTGTAAAAATGTGAGTACACATTGATATTTTGCTTGAAAATAGACGCGATGCCGCAAATAAAAATATCATCTGACATCTAAGTCTTTCTTCATTTTTAAGTGATCTCACCCCTGTAGGTATAATCAGCCCAAGCCGGCAGCGCTGAAGTTTTTACACAGACCTTTAAAAAGTTTTTGATAGCGTAAATCTGGGCTCTGTTTGCAGATGTAAGACATGCGGTGATGGCAACTTCAAATGGTACCTCTAAAAGTTCAGCATTTGCATGAGCAAGTATTACCACGCGTCTGCAGTATGCATCCTGGTGGGCCAAAGGTCACCAAGCACATAGGGCAAGCATGCGCAAACTTATAATTAGTGTGCGTCATGAAGTTACAACACGTCCGCTCGAATTTAAAAGCACGCTGATTGTCGTCGATTGAATGGTTTATACAATGCACGATGGATATTCAGATTCAAAAGCTGGGACGAACAATGTGGGATTCGTTTGTCAAGAGGCACGAGAGATCAGATTTTTGCGACAGGGGCGAAAACGATAACAACAGCCCCAGCAACGAACAGCAGAAAAACCCATAGAGCGAAACGGCATCATTTAAATCGATGTGACTGACAGTCCGGTTTCGCCATGTCTGTGTGTGATCCAATGTGATAGGAAACGCCTTCTCGACATCTCGGCCTGATATGATCAACTGAAAGAGCGTGTCTAATTGAGTCACGCGACGCTGAAAGAAAAATAACGAAGATGCAGCATAAAGCGCATTAATACGTTAAGCTTTAAACGGTCAACACATTGAGGTACACGGGCTTGCCGTTTAGATACGTGAAGCCGTTGTATATACAACTTTACGGGTACTCGATATTCATAATATGTATAAATGTCAACAGCTATATATGTAGCCGTCGATGAGGTAGCTCAACGTAGCTTACATAGCCCAGCCTCTGATGGAAATATATGAAGCTCCGCTGCACCGAAAGACGCATTAATGGCACGTAGACAATAGATAATCTGTGCGTTGCCTGAAGACACAAGACAACACGGATAGTGAAAGAAATTATTTAATAAGTTATAACTGATTAACTTGAATTTAATTTCGGCCATAATCCTTGTTTAGCAAGTTTCATAAGGTTACAATTGATCGTGCCCTAAGTCATCTGTAGCTTGGAAGCCATTCTCAGCTACAGATTAGCGATATCTGTCACTTTTCCAACAATACGATGTTTTTCGCAGTCGTTTTGCTCGCTACAACGTAATTTCAATAATGATCAATTTAATTTGATCGTCTAAAAAAGAACGAATCTGGTTATGACAGCCGGTAGACGTTTATGGAAACCCCTGCTGGAAGTACGCGGAATTCATAAAGCGCTCTCTTTTGAGGTTATCGATACGCAATGAAGACAAACGCAACATCGACACCTGATCAACCAGACACCAGACAACACCTGTTCAAGCTATACCTATTTCGAATGTAATTTTTTTTTAATATTATTAGAATTTATTGATTCCTGTGCGACTAGTTGTCACAGTCGGATAAGAACGAATATTTTCAAAGACTCAGTAGAGTTATCTGTTCGCAATGCCACGTTTATGTTTCAACTCGCTCCCTCTATTTCGGGTTTCTTCCATGATTAAAGCTTCACCTAACACATTAAAGAGCTGACGGCACCCGATTATGTTATCATCTACGCTATAATATTATCTTATCATTATTACTGCTAGCTTCCGGATGACTACTTATCTGAAGATAGATACAGAATTTCGTGTGATGAATTAAGAATGATTAAAGCTGTTGCTGTTAACACCAGAACTAGAAAGGAAAAACAATATCAATAGCTGACGGAAAAGTAGCGAGTAGTGCTAGCACCACACCGACGACGCTCATTATTACCCCTTGCCCACTCTTAATAACGATTCTGATCCTGATGAACTAAAAAAAAAAGCACCAGGATCAGTGATAACAGTTAGTGGACCCTATAGCTAGCTGTTCTGCGCTCGAACAAAGGCTCAGCGGCGGTCCGTGTTATCATTACTGCGGGAGCCGGTCGAACCGTGACAACAAAAATAAAAACACTAATTGCTGTTGGCCACAGAGGCTAAATTCGTGATGCTGTTAAGAATGCTATGATTTGACGATTGTAGTTTTACGTTTGCTTCCTGCGTTTGTTACATTGTTGCCAGTCGCCACGAGGCTCAATACTCAGTCGAGACACTCCGTTACAATGAACGATGTGGTACTATATTTCTGTCGGAATCTGCTGTCTGAAGATGCCGACCCAGACCACATTTTCAAGTAGTACTCTATACGAATGAACAAAGGCCGCTGCCGACAACAACAATACGAAGATAAACTGTGACACCTGGACAAAGTTTATCTAGAATTCGCTCGTTGGCTGGGCATTTGCCAGCCCTTTCTTCTGTGGGTTGTCCAGTGGACCATCAGTAATAGCTAATGACGCAGTCGTCTGGGCCTCTAACATCTCCGCGGCTGGTGGTAGTCTGCGGAAAATGTAGTTCTCTCTTTTCGTTCTAGTTGGCAGTGATAAGTGGTGACGACGACGACGACGACGACAATATTTCATAAACGGCGCGCAATAGTCCATTGAAGCAACGCTTTAGATGGATACACAGAAGCAGCACCAGCGGGTTAAATTTTAATATCTAGTTGAAGTACAAAGGCTGTGCTTCGGACCACAAGGAGTACCATTTAGTCGTCAACTAATGGAAGTAGATACAAAAATTGGAATGTGACGCCATTTATTAGCAAGCATTCATAAACGCCGGCTGGCAGATTATCTGTGCTTTGAAGTCCAAGCGAAAACGGGAGAGGCTCAAATCAACCGCGGGGTAACAGGATATTAGTTGGTTTCACTCATATGGGGGCGCCACTATCAAATAAGGGAAAAAACTTAAAATCAACTTTTAACATTAAGATTGTATTTATATAAATATATGCGTTTTCGTACAGTAGATGTTTGCGCTCAAATCAGAGACCTAATATTTTATTAGATGCTATCTGAAGTAAAAATGTATGTGTTTCTGAGACGAATACGTCTGCATCATGAACATGTTTTCGGAACACTTTCAAGTTCAATAAACAAATATTTCTTAAAGGGTCGTTTATTTTCTGCTGCTAGATTTATTATAGCATCTGTCGATGCTGCGTTTCTGCTCTAGAACGCACAAAGGTAATTTTGCCGCTATCGTTGCCAGCCTTGCGAACCTTACACGACGCAATATGTCCACAGTATAGTGCATTTGGCAAAGGGTCAACTTCGTTCACCGGTTATTACCATTCCCCGTTCATCGCCGACCTCTTCAAACGCAGAGGGTTTTCGCGCGCGTGCGTGCGCACGCACGCACGCACGCGCACACACACACACAGACACACACACACACACACAGACACACACACACACACACACACACACACACACTCACACACACACACACACACGCGCTTGACCGTACAAGCATACATTGGCTCACGTTACATCAGGATCGTTCTTATGCGTACACTGAAAACGCTGTTGTCGCCTGAACGCTCCGTTCTGAAATCAACTAATAGCTGATTGCACCCCCCCCCCCCCCCTTTGTTGCTTACCTACCTTCCCCGGACGTTCCCTCCAAATTCGCCAGTGCGCCCACCGGGGGCCCCGTCGCCATATTAATAAAAACTAAACCCATTCTAAATATTGTTAGTTATTAACAGTAAAATGGATTGAAGTAGACTACAGAGCGTTTGCTTATTAGCCAGCCGCTAAATTGTTTAATATTCCCAGGATCGAATGTAATCTGAAGATAGATACAGAATTTCGTGTGATGAATTAAGAATGATTAAAGCTGTTGCTGTTAACACCAGAACTAGAAAGGAAAAACAATATCAATAGCTGACGGAAAAGTAGCGAGTAGTGCTAGCACCACACCGACGACGCTCATTATTACCCCTTGCCCACTCTTAATAACGATTCTGATCCTGATGAACTAAAAAAAAAAGCACCAGGATCAGTGATAACAGTTAGTGGACCCTATAGCTAGCTGTTCTGCGCTCGAACAAAGGCTCAGCGGCGGTCCGTGTTATCATTACTGCGGGAGCCGGTCGAACCGTGACAACAAAAATAAAAACACTAATTGCTGTTGGCCACAGAGGCTAAATTCGTGATGCTGTTAAGAATGCTATGATTTGACGATTGTAGTTTTACGTTTGCTTCCTGCGTTTGTTACATTGTTGCCAGTCGCCACGAGGCTCAATACTCAGTCGAGACACTCCGTTACAATGAACGATGTGGTACTATATTTCTGTCGGAATCTGCTGTCTGAAGATGCCGACCCAGACCACATTTTCAAGTAGTACTCTATACGAATGAACAAAGGCCGCTGCCGACAACAACAATACGAAGATAAACTGTGACACCTGGACAAAGTTTATCTAGAATTCGCTCGTTGGCTGGGCATTTGCCAGCCCTTTCTTCTGTGGGTTGTCCAGTGGACCATCAGTAATAGCTAATGACGCAGTCGTCTGGGCCTCTAACATCTCCGCGGCTGGTGGTAGTCTGCGGAAAATGTAGTTCTCTCTTTTCGTTCTAGTTGGCAGTGATAAGTGGTGACGACGACGACGACGACGACAATATTTCATAAACGGCGCGCAATAGTCCATTGAAGCAACGCTTTAGATGGATACACAGAAGCAGCACCAGCGGGTTAAATTTTAATATCTAGTTGAAGTACAAAGGCTGTGCTTCGGACCACAAGGAGTACCATTTAGTCGTCAACTAATGGAAGTAGATACAAAAATTGGAATGTGACGCCATTTATTAGCAAGCATTCATAAACGCCGGCTGGCAGATTATCTGTGCTTTGAAGTCCAAGCGAAAACGGGAGAGGCTCAAATCAACCGCGGGGTAACAGGATATTAGTTGGTTTCACTCATATGGGGGCGCCACTATCAAATAAGGGAAAAAACTTAAAATCAACTTTTAACATTAAGATTGTATTTATATAAATATATGCGTTTTCGTACAGTAGATGTTTGCGCTCAAATCAGAGACCTAATATTTTATTAGATGCTATCTGAAGTAAAAATGTATGTGTTTCTGAGACGAATACGTCTGCATCATGAACATGTTTTCGGAACACTTTCAAGTTCAATAAACAAATATTTCTTAAAGGGTCGTTTATTTTCTGCTGCTAGATTTATTATAGCATCTGTCGATGCTGCGTTTCTGCTCTAGAACGCACAAAGGTAATTTTGCCGCTATCGTTGCCAGCCTTGCGAACCTTACACGACGCAATATGTCCACAGTATAGTGCATTTGGCAAAGGGTCAACTTCGTTCACCGGTTATTACCATTCCCCGTTCATCGCCGACCTCTTCAAACGCAGAGGGTTTTCG